TCTCTCTCCCCTCTCCCCTCCCCTCTCCCCTCTCTCTCCACTCTCTCCGGTCTCCTCTCCTCTCTCCCCCCTCTCCCCTCTTCATCCCCTCTACCGCCTACAACCCCCCCTACGCCCCCCCATCGCTCATCGATTGGTTTAGACGCGGTCGAGCGTTTAAACAAACCAAAGAGGTAATCCAAAAAAACCAAAAGGGTCACTATAAGAAAGATCCCAAAAAGAAACACTGGAAAGTTCGTGACATGCGTGTAATCCTCGATAACTCTCAAACTTATCCCAGACCCAAAAAAAGACAACAAAACGATGAGGAACCTTCCTCTGAAAATAACGATGACAACATACCTTTGTCAAAACAACCCTCCAAAAAATGTCAAAGACGACAGCCCTCCAACAAACGTCAAAGACGTTAGCTTCTCTGTTAACATTTCTCTTTTATGTGATTGACTTTCCTTTTATCTGTTGTCATCGTGGTCCTCCAATATCCATAACTTCCTTATTTCTTACAACAAAACTCCTCAAACCAAAAAAAGGCCCTGTTTTCTCTTAACTAACCTCATTTCTCATCATTTCATTTTCCTTTCTTGCTCTATAAACGGACCGTCTATCAATATTCTTTGTGGTTGTCATCAAAAAAAAGTAATTCATCACATCTGTTTTTTTGTCTTGATCACACTTTTATTTCCAATATGCCAAGAAACCGTTGAGTTAAGTCATACTACAACAAGATAATCAGAACGGGAGGCTATTTGAAAATCTATGTCTTCCATCAATTTCCCAGAGTCCAAACACTTCACCAACACCTCCATCCTCTTCGCTTGAGCCTCGGCATTTGATTGGCGATCCAGTTTTTGCAACTCAAAATCTCAATCTTTTGCCTTCTCCTCCTTCTCCATCTCCAACTTTTTATCGTCCAACTTCATCGAGTGATCCCATCGTTTACCTTCCATTTCTTTACTATGCTCAAATTTTTTATCTTCCAATTTCAGACCGTTATCTTCCTTTTCAATCATCCTGTTGTACTTCATCTTTTCAAAGCCAAGATTCTCCCGAGCGACCTCAGATTTTCCTAGAAATCAAGGAGAAAGCAAGAATCGTTAATTTCCCAGGTAGTTAAAAAGTGAGTGGAATGTAAGATGACTGACCAGCATCTCTTTTCATCGCATATTCTTTGTAGGCCAGAAAAGAGTTGGGAACAGCAGAGGGGCGACCATGGCTTTTGGGATTGATATTCTTGGAGTTTGAGGCTCGGCGCTTTCCTTTTTTTGGACTTGGAGCCGGGGTGTCAGAGGAGTCCTCATCGGTATGATCGTCCAAAGCAAGCTCTTCGGGTGTCAAACCAGCGTTCAATCCTGAAGAACTTCTTTTGCGCTTCTTCTTCGCACTCGTTTTCTTCCTTGGGGATATGTACTCAGAATCGTCTTCACCAGAATCGCTCAGAGCAGGTGCCTTGCTTGTAGATTGCACACGATTGCTTTTGTTCTTCTTCTTCTTTGGTGATTTCGCCTGGGTCCCCACGGCCTTAGACTTTGAAGCTGGATCTTGGACAGTCTCACCCGATGGAGTGGGTTCCTGGATAAGAACGATGAAGAAAGTCAATATAGTTGTAGTCTTTTCTGCCATCACTCAACAGTGCAACTTACACCTGTTGCCCCAGCCTGGACACCTGCCTCTTCATCCATTGGAACTTGCCCAGTCGGAGCTTCCGTTCTCTGTTTGACGGGGCAATATCTTTCAAAATCAGTGAACAGACGACTGACAACAAATGAAACCAATTGACTTACATCACCTGTGTTTTCTTGCTCCAGGGCCACGATATTGACTTGTGAAGTAGCATTCTTCAACAAAGGGTGAATAGCAGTGGACTCAGAACCATGAGATGAATCGTTCTCATCCATCTCATTTGAGGAATCGGAATTGTTGTCCTCAGAAGATGATTCAGATGAATTGTCTTCATCCTCTGCATCCGCCATAAACAACGGATTGACATCAGGTCGGTTACCAAAGATTTCGTCCATTTCAGCGTAGAGAGGACACATATTTTCAAGTTTGTCCTTGATCGTTGTGATTCCAGCCTTCCGATCAGCTGGGGTCAGACCAAAGCCAGTTGACATAGATTTCGTATGAGCTTTCTTATACTTGTCCTTGTATGACTTGAAACGATCTTTCATCTGTCGGGGGGTAAGATTGATTTTAGTTGGAGAAACATTTCGGAGGTGAATCGCCATCAACTCGTAACCGTTTATCATTGCCTTTGGTCGTCGTCCAATCGCAGGAGCCTTCCCATCGCCAAAACAGGCAACATAGTTTTTCTTGTCTCTGAGCCAGTCGATGATGATTTCATAGTCCTCTATTTTTAGATGACCTTGGGATGAACCAAGTTCATCATCGTTCTTCTTTGATCGTGTATTTTTCGGAGTGGCCCTCTTCTTCTTTGGAGGGGTTTGAAGTGATCGCAGGGTTGGGAATCTGGAAGCTTTTTTTGGAGGCATCTGTTGGGTGCATGTAGTGGAAAAAGAACAAAATTTGTGAGGCCATTGAAATATACCTTGGTTCAGTTGAAGATAAATACCTTGAACTAATCAATTGATCAGACTTGGTTTGATGACGAGTGATGTGCAGGGGCAAGTTAAGAGGAGATGTTGAAGAAGCCGTGGGGTGAGTGGGGATTGAATCGTGGAGGATTGAGGGAATCGTGGAGGATGGGGGATGGTTGGAATTTGAAATTTGAAATTCAGGAATTTTGGGCTAAAAAAATGGGTTGATTTATGCTATATTTGATACGCCCTGACAAAAGAAGTAGGTTATTTGGTCACTGCAAAGGTGGATTTGGTAAGTGTGGATTTCTCAAAACCCGTCAATTAAAAAGTGGTGGATTTTGTTATATTTGATACCCCCTATTGATACAGTACACGTAACCAACATAAATCTTGTCTACATTTATTGTTCTTAAGCTTCAGTACTCTTACTCAACTTATCCACAGTATTCATAGCCTTGCTGAATATTCCCATCAACAATACCTGTTAATCTTCAACTAATTTTGTTAAAGCTTAATAAGTATTGTTAGCCCATTCCCTTTTGGGAATAACCAAATCAATCCCAGGTGAGTCTTAGTACCCTGGATGCCTATTAATACCTTGTATTGATCCAGATGCGCTGTTGATAGCAAGCCTCTCAGTAAAGACCATACTGATAGAGTGAAACCTCCTCTTTAAAGGACTGGTATTAATCACCCACTACCTAACACTCACCACGCTCAAAAACTTCAGTCAACTCATAGTAACAACCTTTTTACTATTAAATACTCAGGTTAGTTACCCAGAGGCTGACAGGACCCAGCAGCACTGCTACTTCTACAGTAGTGATCCAATCCTTCAGTTCCATCAGCAGCAGATAAGGTGAATTCCACTTCCACTACTGCTGTGGCAGATTAGAGAAGCACTTCAATGCCTTGCTGATTCACAGGTGATTTTTTGGTAGCCTGAGCCCAATTTTATCTACTGTGCTCACATGAATACCCTCCAAAAATTCAAGACAGTTCAGTATTCATCCAGCACTTTCAAAGTTGGATTTTCTTGACTGGATTAATGCACTGTACTGAAATGATTCATTTGAACAAAGTTTATAATTCAGATTGTTGACCAAAAGTAGGTTAGACTTTGGAAAAATGTTAGAGGCAATCCATTTCCTTATATACTAACTAGGTCATGTGAATATTAGCCCTATAACAATCTATGATGTTTTATCTATTTCATCAAAGAATTATTCATCTCAAAAAATATCAATTTTATGTATGTTACATGAGTCTTCTCAATGTCAAACCTTGTGAAATTGTATCTTCAAGTTGCATCCATGAGTGAATAGTGTGAGGCACCATTTTAAGTGCAAAGGAGGTTTTTCAAGTTAGGGAGAGGTGAATAATTTGTGACAGCTTGTAGGTTGGGAAAAACATGTGGCTTTATAAACTGTACCTGGAAATTTTGGTGTCTTGGGATCATCAAGACTCAAGTTTAGCCTCAATATTCCAGATATAATCATTCTTTTTGTTAGTCACTTTTTTGTCTGTTTTGTTTTTATAATTTTTTTTTAATGTTTCTTAATTCTTCATGCTACACTGGCCCTATCCTCACAAAAGTTCTCTACCTATGATGTTTTGCTTTGTTTTAATTTTTTCTTTTCCCCTTATTCAATTTTTTCTTCAATTTTCTTTCTGCTCTTGAGTAGGTAGGCAAGTTTCTTTTTAAAGACCACAGCAGCTTTAGGAAAACAGTTGAAAGGGTCCATTATTAGGTATGAGCCAACTTGGCAAAAACCTTGATCTGGGCTGGATCCCCAGTTTCCATCCCCATGACATTCAATTTTTGTTTTCAGACGCATATGTTTCCCCGCAGATTGACTGCTACAAAAACAAACTTCTACCCTCAAATAATATTTGAACATTGATCAATATTTAATTGTGTTTGTTATCTTAATTTTATTGCTGTGGATTTGTGAAGAGGAGAAACTTTTAGAAGAGCCTCCATATTTCCAGGGAGATTCATCATGTCACATGAGTTGTGAGGATTGAAATTTTGGTACCAGGCAGAAATCAATAGCAAGTTATGGTTTGGAATATGACATTTTAATTTTTGCTAAACTGCTGAAAAGCTGAATGTTAACAATCTGCTCTGGTAAGATATGGCATCAGAATGTTTCAAAGAAGAGCCAATTGAAATGTGTTGCAAGATGAAAAAGGGAAGAGAGATGATCACTAGAACAAAAAAGCAGACAAAATTATTATGAGCCATATTTTTTTTGCTCGCATCAGGTTTTTTTTTCTATGTGTTGTGGAGAAGAATCTTTTAACTCCTGAGCAAATTTGGCCAGGTTTTTGTTAATTTGGAAAGAACATCCTTGGTGTGTCCAATTACGCCTTCATTCGGAGTGATTCAGGCGGTTGGGTCGTACAGTGTTCAAACATGGAAGTTTGCCAAACAAGCTCGACGCTACCAGCGGCTTTTCCAAAGTCTATTAGATAAGCATGTCAAGGAAACAAAAACCCATGACCCAATTCAGTGGATGGGGGAGGGATCGGTTTACCAGTTCCAAGTTCGATATAAGAAAAGAGACCATAGGACCAGCCGTTGATGTCGTTTTTGTCTTGATGTTGCTCGTTATAAAAATTGTTGTACGTTACAGACACATTGGAGGCAAACTTGTACTTGGGCCGATCCTCCTTGCGCATTTGTGACCACTCCTCCTGAGACCAATTGGGGAGACCGTATTCATTCATCAAATTTTTGTTTTGTTCGTAAGCACTGCGGGAAATTGCTTCCGTTCGTTGAGAGAGAAATTCGTTGTGTGATTGAAGCTTTGCCCACAGGGTATCGTCTAGGGCCTTTTCAGCAGGGGTGAGATCGGTTCTTCGGGCGTATGTACCTGTGGAGATAAATATTCAATGATGAAGCCTTGAACTGATGAAGAAGCAGTGAGAAGAGAAAGTGCATACCAGCAGATTTACCGCGATTGTTCCCTGGTCAAAATCCAATCATGTGCATTTCTCCGTTGATTCGGTTGTGGTTTCTTTTGTTGCAGGGGCGGAATTTGGCCATAGCGTGAAGTGTTTGGATTATATCACATAGTTTGTTGAAGGTTGATGTTGAATGAGTGAGTTTCAAAAATGAATTGAGGGGTCAAGGAAGATGATGACACAATTTGACGGGAAGTTTGCGCTAGGATTGGAAGCTTTATGACATACTTCGGGGAAACTGGGGTTTGAGAGGGTGAACAGATGATAAAGTCCATTCTTCCTGTGAGCTCGTGCAATCTTCTTTGCTGTACCGGACGGGTATTGGGGCGGAGGATTACGAGGTTTGGGAACTGGAATTGACATTGCTTGGGCAGTGCAAGAAGAAACCAAACGGGTCTCTTTATAGCCCTGATGGTCGTTGGCCTTTCGCCTTGCAAGCAAATCAGGGCTACCCAGAGACAAGGGGCTCTTCGATGGGACTGTTCATTCGTTGACAGAAGAAGAAACCGCACGAGTAATTTTATGGACCTGACGATTATTGGGTTGATATGGAGACGAGGGGCTCTTTGATGGGGCCGTTTGTTTGTCGACCAAAGAAGAAACCACATGAGTCTCTTTATAGCCCTGATGGTTGTTGGCCTTTCGCCTTGCAAGCAAATCAGGGCTACCCGGAGACAAGGGGCTCTTTGATGGGACCGTTTCTTTGTCGACCAAAGTAGAAACCACACGAGTCTCTTTATAGCCCTGATGGTTGTTGGCCTTTCGCCTTGCAAGCAAATCAGGGCTACCCGGAGACAAGGGGCTCTCAGATTGGGTTGGCAGAGAGACGGGTGATGCACAAGTGGCTGGCAACATGACCGCACAAGCCCCCTTATGACCCTGATGATTGACAGTGGTATCCATATTGAATCGATCAGGTGCACCCAGGGGCAAGGGGTTGTTGAGTTTCCGAGCTCTGAGTTTGTGTTTACGTTTAGTTCAAGTCATTTCCTGGAGCGATGGTGGTGTCAGAGCTGGTGATTGAGTTATTGTGGCTGAATGAATTACAAATGTAGTGTTGCAGATCAGTAAGCGTTGAATCATAGAGTTATGAATCATGAAGATAGATAAGAAACTCATACTTGCAACAGCCTGGAAGAGATTCAGAGAAGCCTGGATGGAAGTAAGACCGAAGTAGTTTGATCGCTTTGATGGTGTTCTGTCTATAAAGAAGGAGAGAGGTGAAACAGATCAAATCAGCCCAGATCAATCAATGTAAGAGGTTTATGATTTTTCTGATCGATCAAAGAGATAACAAACACTAGTCAATGAGGGAGAGAGAGAGGTGCCTGGTTTGTCTCTCAAGACAGAGGATCGTTGGTTGATTCAGGGGCCAAGCGAGTGCTTATCAACAAATGGGACCAGGAGAGATTGTTTTGCCTAGACGACAAGCCCTGATGTATCTGTGAGAGGTACAAGTCTGGATTGGAATGATTGAGGAGATGAGTGGAAGAGATAGAGACTAGATCGTTTGACAATTGACAGACGCACATGGATAGATCTCAATGAGACAGAAGCTCCAGAGCAATTCGGGAGGTCTTCGAGGAGAGGGAGAGGATGAGATTGAGATTGATCGTTGAAGGACTGCAGCCCAGATCGTTTCTGAGCTAGAAAGAAAAAACAAGTCAATACAATGTTGATCCAATTGATAGAAGAGGAACAGGCCTGAGCAATTGATGACAATGGAAAGATGAGATTAACAGCTTACCGAGAAAGCAGACTGTAGATTACTGACAGAAAGAGGCTGAAATTGGTGGTTGGTGAGGGGGTGAGGTTGATCGTTGATGTAGCGAGCGAACAAAAGTGAACTCCGAGCTGCAAGCTGGGAGGGATCGCGACAAGGGGCTTACATAATCATGTCCAGTTTGTTCAATCGTGGAGCAGACACATTATGGCTATGTAAGAACAAGGTAAAATTAACAGTGAGCTGGGGCAGATGTTTGAGATTGTTGGTACAGTTTAATGAGTCAAGGTCTTTTGATTGATGAGTAGATAAAAATGGTGTGGTCGAAAACAAAGAGATCTTGAATATTGAAAGGTCTAAGAATGGATGTGCGTTCAACCTGACCAAGGTAATTGTGATACTAATTTTTAGTTCTGATACTTTCTGGTCACACCCGGATGCCACCCTAAACTGCAATTAGGCAAGCTGCACATGCATATGTGAAAACTGAATCCTGTGAATGCCTATTGAAGACTTTTTTGACATAGAGCCAAGGGATAGGAGGATGTAAATGTGTGTTAATTTAGTTAGTCAAGATGGTGGATGAGAGCAACCTGACTATAATAAGTGGATGTGAGAATCTGAGATTGATTGAATTGTGTTGGTTCTGGAAAGTAAGTTTTTGAAAAAAGATTTGGAAACCCAAGGGCAAAGAGTAGAAGAATTGAAGAGAGACCACGGTGAGTGAATTGAAACAGGAGCAGTGGAGGATGGGGCTGATTCCATCATGAAAGAGAAATGCAAGTATTGGGTTGATATCCACAACTAATCAGTAAGCTCTAAGTAACCAGAAGAATTGATCAAAATAAGAAAAAGGCTTGACCCAGGAAAAACCGGATTCACAAAGGGGCAAAAAAAGTTAGATTTCCCAATAGGGATGTGAATGTGTCAAATTTAGTGAGAGATGGATTTAGATCAAAGATAAAAGTGATTTAGGAAATTTGGCATGAGGGGTGATTAGAGGGGGAGAATGTAAGATAAAAATAGGGAAAGCGGAGGCAAAAAATGCAGAGTTTGGTAGGGGGTATTGAAATTTATGGCAAAGTGATTGGTCTTGCTACCGGAAAAGGGCAAATAGGAAAGATAGAATATTGATATAAACTCCTGCAAAGATGGGAATTATGTGTAGATCACCTAGACCGAACCTGCAATAATTTTGTAAAAATCCCAAAAAGGGGAGTTATTCTTCCAGGGGATGTAAGATCTGGAAGAGAAAATTCAAAATATGAATCTGTTTCACCAATATCTTGCATGGGTTTGTTTAGGTACTGAGGAAAAAATGGATTAATTAAGTCTGAGATAATTGAAATTAGAAATGAAAATCAAGTTTGAAACCCATTGGTTCATCTGTAACATGGATATGTGACACAACACTGGGCATGTGGCAATAATGTGTTCAAAAAACTGATTATCCTCAAAGCCCCAAAAATACACATGAATGAGCACCTGTCAATTCCCCATCTCAAGCTCAACCAAAAACTCAAATTCATAGCAGCCTAGTTTTATGGGGCACTAAATATCATCAAAGTTTGGTGGGAACTACAACATAAAAATCTGCAGAATAGGCAATGGATAAAGAAGAATAAAAAATGGTTTGAAAAAATAGTGTAGTCTTGAATAAGAGTAAATTCATGTCAAATAAAAAAAGTTCAACATGATGTAAGGCCAGGATGAATGGAGTCCGTTGGAGGGACACAAAAATAAAGTGAACCATGAGGTCTAGTAAGTAGATGGGGGAATGTATCTTATGAATGGTTAAATGGGTGTATAGAGTATCAGTTGCATTTGTGTTTGGAAATCTTTTAGGTACAACATGGACATGAGGGAGGAATGAAACTTAATGCAATTGAACATTGAATATTGATGTGAGTAGTTCAATTGCATTAAGTTTTTGTATCAAGAAAAATTTAATGTGAGAATACATTTTTAGGTAATTCAAAACTTTGGGCAGGGCTAATATGAAGTGGTCATGATACAGCCTATTCTATTTGCCAGATCAAGGTAAAAAAAAGTAGATAATCAAATCACTGGCAATGGATACAATCAATGAGAGGCATGATCATCTTTCTAGAAAAGATGAATGGTACAGAAATATCATTGAATCTTCACAGAATCAATCATGGGAAGGAAAGAGGGATCAAGTTATGAGGGGGTTAGCACATTTGGGATGAAGGCTATCAAATATTCACACAAGCACACTTATATTAATGGATATGGTGTGAATAATAAAATAGATAGCCTACTCTACCAGAATATATATCTGCAACATTTTTTATTGATGTGTGCAACCCTTTTCTAGGGGTTTCTTTGGGTAAGTATTGTCCCATGGACCATGTAATATTGCATATAAGACCGGCGTGCTTGGTCTTGGTCTACAAATTGTAGGTCAATGTAAGATTCATTAAGACCGGCGGTCTCATCAGGGAGCTCAGATAAAAGTATTTGATAATGATAAACTGCCAAAGGTATATATTGAATTATTGAAACGTGTAGGAAGATAGCATTAGCAAGTTAGGAAATATGCTGCCAATGAGGATAATCAGATTTTCATACATACTTGATAAGACCGCCGGTCTTATGGAGGAAAGTTGGGCTCCAACACTTCAGTGGCATGTACGCTCTGAAGCACCAATGGGATATGGTGAATTTGGGTCAAGCAGGCAAATTTATAAAATGAGGGGCTACTGCCTGGTATAGAGCTTTTTAATGCTCCATAAATCATACTGTTGAGGGTAACATAGGTGACACAAATGATAAGTGAGAAGCCGATGAGGTGGCGAGGACAAAAAGTCTGAGCACAGTGATTCAAAGTGTAATATTCATTCAGTATGAGTGAAGAGAAATAGATGGAGAACAACTTGGCTATGTAGTAACAGAGTACAGGCTAAGTTGTGGGTGGATAGGTTAGAAGCATATCCCAGTAAAGAGATACTGCCATACTATCTCAACAGCCCCCCTTGCTGATAACTCTATACAAGTTAGTCCTACTTTCCCAGCCTTCACATACTCATATGTTGAATGGCTTGATTAGGCCAAAGGGGTTGGCTAGGGCAGGCATCTAAATTCAGTACAAACAAACTAAGAAAGGCAAGAAGTTTAGTAAACCAAGATAGAGATCCATCCTGCACAAGGAGCAGGGAGAGGCCACAACAGCTACTGTACTCAAAAACAAGCAGAGGGTAGGAATTATCTATAAAGCTAGACCGGAGTTGTCATTGCTAGAACGGAGGTTGCATGGGTCTGATAGCCAAATTTCAATGTGAATATCAGTACAACAAAAAAACTTATATTGGTCACCTGAGGGGAAAGAAAATTGTAAAAATGCAGTAAACCAGGGTGTTAGCAATCGGTTACATCTGCTTAATATTTGAGAAAAAAAATTAAGTAATTGGTTGCTTGAGAGGCAGCAAAGAGTTAAGACAATCAATCAGGGCTCCAGAAAAAGAATTGAGGCTCCAGGGGACCGATCAAAGCTTCAGACAACCGATTGAGGCTGTAGACAACCGATCAAAGCTCCAGACAGCTGATCGAGGAAGTACATGATTGCTGGAGGCTGTGGAGAATGTAAAGAGGACAATAAGGTCCAATCAAGACCAAGGATGTGTGATTGACGAGTCCTGGTGTGTATCAATGAGTCCTGGCGAGCCTCGATGAGTCCTGAAGAGATTTGACAAGATCCGACTAGTCCTGACAATTTCTGACGGGTCCTGACAATTTTCGACAGATCCTGATGATTTCCGACGAATCCTGACAATTGCCAACGAGTCCTGACAATTGCCGAGTTCTGACGCTCTCCGACAAGTACCAGCGAGGCCTGGAGGGTCCTGATGAGATTTTGACAAGCTCAGAGGGGTCCGACAGTTCCAATAAGCTCAGAGGGGTCCTGACGAGTTCCAACAAGATCCAAGGAGTTCCGATGAGCGTCAATGGGGAAAAACAAGTCGTGGAGGTTTCCGAGTGAGTTGAAGACAATGAAAATAAATGCCGGAGGAGAGAGTGAAGCCGGTTAAAGTGAAAAAAAAAATAAGAATGGGTGCGACAGGTGGAGCACATGGGTCTCATAACCTGTTGAGGGTAACATAGGTGACACAAATGATAAGTGAGAAGCCAATGAGGTGGCGAGGACAAAAAGTCTGAGCACAGTGATTCAACGTGTAATATTCATTCAGTATGAGTGAAGAGAGGGTCTGTGTTAGTGTGGAAAAGGTTAATTTCGTTGATGTGGCAGGTATCAGAATAATTGGATTTCAATTTTAGTTGATAGAAACTATTGACAAGTGGCATTCTGGGGAATATTAAACAATTCAGACTCTTTACTAGTAACATTAATATAATCATGAGCAAAACACTTAGCTAGCTGATGACGGGTAGGGATAATAAGTCTGGATACATCATTATTTGATTGGCGAACTAAATCAAGTATTTGGCGAATATAACTGCCCAGGTTAACCCATACAGCCTCGTGAGCAGAGGAGGGGCCCTGAGAGGATGAAATTATTCTTTTGAAGATTGATAAGACTTTGAGGCAGTGACTAATACTATATTGTCGGTAATCACGGGTAGAAATGAAGATTCCACGCGTACCAGAAAGTAGGAAAGAGATTAAGGGAAAGTAGTTGTGGCGGCTTTCAATCTCAGAGAGGGATTTACGGTCGGGAGCATCCTTGGTAGCAACTGTGGTTGAGTTGGATTTTGTCTTGGGTTTCTTGCGGGGATTGTGCTGGTCTTTGGAGTGAGCTTGAATGATGTTGTATGACATAATCATATCAATGATACTCTTTCAAAGATCGTCTAGTGTGTCGCCCGTAGAGGTGGAAGGGGCAGTGGTCAAGGAGTTGGTTACTTTCCCATCCTCAGGTTGACCGTCCGTGATTTGTGGAAGTATTGGCATGGTATTCTTCAAGGTGTTAAGCCAGGTAAGGACAATAATGTGTTGTCTGAGGCTAGATGGCGCAGACTGAATTTCAGGAGCTTTAGGGTTTTCATCCGATATGGTTTGTACTGAGAGTGCAACGGTCTTGGCCCATTCACGGAGTATACAAGGCGGCGGGAATTTGATCAGGGAACGTACAGCTCGGAAGAAATTGAATTCTGGATGTGGCGATTGGGAGGCGCTGACAATGGTTGTCCCTTCTGATGCTATTTGCTTTTTGATTAGAGTGAAGTTGATAAGATCCTCAATAAACCATGGCTCATGACTCGAAGGAGCAAGAATTTCTGTCGCTGTAAAAGATAGCAAAAGTGATTAAGCAAAGATTCAAGGTATTTTGAGTAATTTAAGTGAGGCTCACCAGATTCAACAATCTCTTTGATCCAGTTTTTGTAGTTGAACTGGGCTTGGTTGTAGACAAAAGTAGCTGTTGGAATTTTGGTAACATGAGGAGTGTCAAGACGGAAATGCATGAGGTATTGGGCTGCGTCCCACCCTTGCTCCCACTTGGTCTTGGTCACTCGTCCTTTCCAAAATTCTGTGGCTATTTGGTGAATGCAGGTACGGAGAGAATCCAGCTTAATGATTGAATTGGCTGGAGCGGTATTGATGGTTGATGGTTGGTTGTCGTTGGAAGGCTCAGCCTCGTGATTGTGCGGAGGTGAGTTGATGGCGGTAGAGTCAGGCGGGTTGATTGGATCATCTTGATTAGGGACTGTTGGCTGGTCTTCGGCCTTATCATCTTTGGGAAGCGGAGTGAGAGATGAAGCAATGCAAGATCGGGGGTGAGTAGGAGCGTCTTCATCATCGCTGGGAGATGAGTCTGTGTCTTCATCCAAGCGGCGTTTCTTATTTGACCCGTTTGTTGATGGGCCAGACTCCTCGACAGGGTTAGAGCGTCCACGGGTCAAGATCCGAGTCGGAGCAGTTGATTTGTGGGAATTACCAGTAGTGGGGGACTTGGAAGGGTCATGGGAATCTTCAGGTAAGGATTGGTCTCCAATGTTTTCGGCTGCACAATTGGGTGCATTGAGAGTGACTGGGGTGGTCTTCTTGGTAGCTGAGGTTTCAGGGCGATCTGGGGTGCCTTTGTTGATGGGATGTTTGTCTGGGAGCTGAGATTGTTCCTCTGAGGCACCATTGCTTCCATGGGGTTGAGGAGGTAAAGTCAATATGTGAGAAGTGATCGCAACTGGCGTATGACTCTTCTTTTTGGTCCTGGAGTTGGGCTTTGGTGGGGCAGACGAAGATGGCCAAGTGATGGTTGGTTGACTGGAAGGCTTGACCATCAGGCATTTGTGGGTAGGGAGGGTTTTACTCTCCTCATATCCTGTTGATGAAAAGTCAACCTCAGCCATTGGGGGGAATGGTTTATAGAGGAAATGCATACCTTTTCATAAACTATCCAGGCGGGTAACAATTCCTTCAACATCCTGTTGCGTGGATTGGGGATTACGAAATGGGTACCAGCCTTCAGGGAAACCCCGGCTTTAGGAGCATTTCCGGAGAAACTCCCCCTGACCTATTTCTGAAATTTCCGACGAGAGGCGCGGCTCCCCCAAAATTTTTTTTGGGGGGGCAGACAACTTTTTTGTGTCGGGGTCGGGGGGGGGGGGGGGGGGGGGTTTCTCGAGATTGTCTGAAGGAAATGACATTCTGTAAGAGTGGGGGTCTGGAAAAGCAATGGAAAAAATCAACGAAAATGGGCATGACAACCGGAAAAAATATGATAAGTTTGGAAATTTGACTACCCCCGCGGTGGTGGGGAGTTAGGAACAGTTGAGTGTGTTTTTTTGGTTTCTCCGGCTGTCTGGGGGGGGTTTGGGTGGTTAACAGTTTCTTTTCGATTTCCCTCTTTCATTTTGGGATTAGGGGGGGGGGTGATAAGAAAATTAAATCAAGTATAGAAGGTTGGGAAACGAGTAAGGAAGAGGATGTGGGGAGAAATTATTAACCAATTTGAGAGGGAGGACAAATCGATGGGGGGGGGAAGTCTGTGCTGGAAAGAGCTCTTTATCAAGGAAAAAATTGGTAGTAGATGCTGTCAAGGAAAAAAGTAATGGGGATGGGCCCCTCTGTGATGTTCAAGGCGATTTGCACAATGGTGACCCATCATTGCACGAGCAACGTGGGAATTCAACTAAAACCTTTCAGCTTGATGACAATTTGTTT